TTTTTAATATATTTATTTTTTGGGTTTTTCAGTTGAATTATACTTAAAGTTCAGGGAAATCAACTGTTAAAAACATACTGTTCACATTTTTTTTCTCCAATAAATGGATGTTTTCAAAGTCAATGAATAATCACAATTACAATTATTGACCCAAATAATCGAGATTATGATTTTTGCCATAATCGAGCAGCCCTATAGTTCAAGCTACGCATGAGTGAGATTTGCAGTGACTGGGACAAACGTTTTGATGGACCCCTCACCTGAACCAGCTCATGGTTTTTTAATCTCCCCTGTTTGAGAGGGAGATAAAAAGCAGGATGAATAATTCACTGCTCACATGCATTTTGTATGAACAGTCCCATCGCTCATCGTTGAGGTGTAGAGAGCAGATTCCTCTGGGCGGTGGGTCTAATAAACATTGTTAGATCAACACGGTGACGTCCATTTGTGGTGATCACAGCGAGACACCCAGCAGATGCTCGGGTCCGGCCTCGTGTACACTCCTTCACGCTTCACGTCACTTACTATAATGTTATCATCATTCTCGTCTGTTGACCTTTACACCTTGTACTCATTTCATTTTCAGCTCACGCCTCTCCATCTTCATCTCCATTTCCTCCTGTCTCCTGTAGTTCCTTCACCTCTTCTTTCTTCATGTGTCTCACACCTTCACAGGTAGGTTTTCATCAGATGGTTTCACATCACTCCGACGGCCTCTTTCCACTGTGTTTATTTTTACCCATCGCCATCAGTTCCTAGGAAGGTGTCGTCATGTGTGTCTGTCCGCCTGTTTGTTTTCACAGTCTTGTGAACTGGGTTAGTCAAGAAACATTTAAATGACATGCTTGATAAAAACCGTGCTCCTCAGAAGTTGATATGCAAAGATTAGAATTTAAGGGATTTTGAAAATACTGTAACCTGTTTCAATATTTAAGAACAAACTTGATGTGATACTGTAATCATTGTTAATATTAGAACCTTCTTGAGGCACAAAAATAGGATTTTCCTTAAATAAAACAATGACTCTAACAGGCAATAGACTCACAAACCAATCGTATTTCTTTCACTCATTTCATTTCATTTCAAACCTTTATTTAGACAGATTGGTCCCTTGAGATCATCGATCTCATTTACAAGGGAGATCTGCATCATTTAGTTCCACATGAAACATAAAAACAACAAACAAACAAACAACAGAGGATATCATATTTACATATTCAACATTTACAAATACCCAGAGTGTCAGAAAGCATTTCATTTAGACGTGCCTTAAATACATTCACCACGTATGATACACATTAGAGATGTCCCGATCCGATCACGTGATCGGGGATCGGAGCCGATCACGTGATTTTCAAAAGATCGGAATCGGGAGAAAAAAAATCGGGGATCGGGATTTTTTTTTCTTTTTTTTTTTTTTACTTTTTTTTATTTTGTATTCAATGTTACAAAACAAAAATGACCATGTTCAAGTCTTAAAGTCATCCTGAGGCCTTAGTTTTGGTTTCAAATTACAGAACATCATGTATGTGTTGCTTCTTTGGGGCTTGTTCTCATAGACCTGGTTGCTTATTTCTCTCAAATCTGCCAACAGAGTGGGCAGGGCGCAGTGTCTAATTGTAGCAGTAAGCTAACGAGTACTGAGCTTATTTTGTTTTGATCCAATGCTGCACAACTGAACTGATCCAATGCTGCTGTGAAAGAAAGAAGCTATATCCATGTTGGATAGAATATCCAATTTAAATAAGAAAAAATAACCTTAAGGGACAACTTGAATGCTTTTTTTTCTCTTAATGCATTGCATAAAGATCGGATCGGGAA